CAGATGTAAAGGAAATAAGTACCTTTTCCAGGCCACTCAGGATCTTCTCCAGCTCAGTTTTAGATAGGATTCCAGCCTTCTCCAAGGCTTTGGCATATGCCATGCTCCCCTGGACATCAACCTCAGACAGTCTTTGATCATAGGTAATGGAAGCATTGAGAATCTCCATGACTGGATCTGTGCTTCCACTGAATCTTCCTCCCCAGAGTTTATCCCCCTGAGGTAGAGGAAGAAGCAAATTAAATAGTCCCGATAACTTCAGTTAAGTTCCTATGCACTATGTAACATCCAGTGATCTGTTTATCCAATATAGAGGCCTTTCTCAGCTATGTCCTTTCAGTGTAGTAGCACTGACCAGAAAGGCCCCTGGCCTTCAGGACCTTTGGCAAGTAGTTGTAGGGGTGGAAAACATGTCACTGTCACTAGCATTTAGCCCTTGAGCTGTGAGGTCTGGCTCAGGAATCCTCCAAGATACTTTACCTCTGCAGGACTCTGCAGAGAGTCGTTGAAATTAATATCAGGGCATATGGTGCAAGACCAGGCTGGATTTCTCTTTTGAGGCAGCTGCAGGTCAACAACCCTTTGATAGCCTTTTAAAGGTGGAAAAAAATAAAGCAGTCAGTAACGAATATTGTGAAAGCTAGTATCCTCCAAGTCCGTTTTGTGCTGTTGAGCTAACAGAGAGATTTTTCTTTGCTTGACAAAGAGCTGTGGGCCAGCACAAGCCACATTATGAAGTGTTTGAAGTTGCTGTTTGAAGCATCTCCAGAGTCCATGGTGTGCTTGCAAGCTTTGACATAAAAATAGCATAAAAGTGGTTAAGGTGCGGACTGCAGAAAGGGAGGTCTGGGTACCTTTCAGCATCAAGAATATTCAGAAAAATAAATCAACAAAAAAGTTTTAAAACACATAGAAACAACTTTTGTTTTTCTACCCAAACCAAGATTCATATAGTAACCTTACACACTTGAATGTGTCATCTACATTACTACTACACTGGGTGACTGAAGACAGGTATACAATTCCAGCTATGCATCGCAGCAGGGTATGTGTAAGCTTTTTTCACCTGTGATTCAGCAACTGAATGGATTAATTAGCGAAGAGCCATGTACGTCACTTGATCAGAAGCTTTTTGCTTGCCCAGGTAGGACACCCCCTAACTTTGGCAAACGTGCGTTGAAATGGATAGAAATTTTACTTGTGCAGAGACCTTACAACTTATCCAAGATTTCAAAAGCAACTCTCCAGCACTAGCAGGCACAAAAAAGAAATTGGAGGACATTTAAAGGAAGGGCCTAAATACAATTGTGTCTCTTCTCATGCAGCACACTCTGACTACCATGGACAGCAAGAATCTGGCAGAACAGTTGCAAGCTAATCTGTGCCAGGGCTTTATCAGTCAGACAAAGCACTGTTGAGTAACCTTAGAAACTTTTTCTCTAGTGACTGTCTCCATGTGTCTGCCAATCCCTGCTGAAACAATGTGCCCTAGAGGACAGCAGGAGAGAGCCTACAGAGGTAAGAGTGTAGGCATGTGCTTTTCAGTATCTTTAAGGCAGCTTTGTCAGAAATGTGAGGAAAGGCAGAGGGGGGAATCAGAATTGAAAAAGAAAAGTGCTAGAGGTCCTCAGCATGCATCTGGTGCCCACAGGAGCATGGCATAGGGGATGCTAAATTAAACGCCAGCACCAGAGGCTAAGTGCTTGAATAGGAACAGGTATATCTAGGCATCTAGGTATAACTTCAGTATTATGGGTTTCCATCAAAGTAAGAAGTGGGTCAGCAGAAACATTGCAACAGATACATTTGCAATCAGGAAATCAAAACTGAAAGATTAATTTTAGCTAGCTCCAGGACTCTGGTTAGAGAAGTGGCTAGTACAGCCTGACAGCGGATGGACACTTGTCTGTAACCAAGAGCAGAGGAGGTCAGGGTTGTAGCAGCCATTTGGAAGGCAGAAAGCATGACTCACTAAGATGACTAGTCACGTCTCACCTACCAGCCAGGGAAACTGAAAATGCAGCTTTTGTACAGAGAAGTGTTTACGCAAGCTGCTATAAAGTACCTCCTGCCTAAACACAAGTTAGCAGGAATGACCAGCCCCGGCTGGTCGCTCGCTGCTCCCCGGCCCCGCCGCCCCGCTTTTACACGCATCGCTTATTAGTTTCTCCAGGTAGAGGGAGGGAAGAACCTGAAGGCACCGGCAGGCTGCTTAGCCGGGGACTTTGATTTTAACTCGGTTGAGCTCGCGTCTGCCAGACCACCCCGAGACCAGCCCCGCCGGAGAAGCAAAGTTCACCCTCACCTCGGCTGCCATTTCGGACGACGTTTTGCTCGTTTGTGCGGCGATCCCGGCAGCTGGTGCAACCTGCGGAACAGCGAGGCGAGGCGAGGTGAGGCTCTGCCGCCCGCCCCGCTCCCGGTGCCGGTGGCGGTGGGGGGTCCCCGGTGCCCGCCCGGCCCCGCTCACCTGCTCCGTAGCGCAGCCCCGGCTGGTCGCTCGCTGCTCCCCGGCCCCGCCGCCCCGCTTTTACACGCCTCGGAGCGGGGCTGGCGGCTCGTCCCGCCCCCGGCGGGCGGGGGGGGCCCCCGGGGACGGCCCCGCTCCGGTCCCCCTCCCCTCGGACCACCCCGCAGCACGGGGGTGTTTCTGCTTTCCCTAAGGGAGTGTGCTACTACGGCATGGTTTTTTTCTCTGTGCACTGTCGGAGGCCTTTGAGGGAGTGCAGGAGGTGCATCCCGGTTTTCTTGTCCCCTTTTGGGTTTTTCTGCCCTTTAACCAGCCCTATTGTAACAGGACCGTAGGCTAATTCAGGTAGGAAAGGACCTAGTCCAGCTGTCTTTCCTATGTTCTTCTCTGTTGTACTATTCATCCCCTTTCTGAGCTGAAGATGAAGTCTAGGGCACAATGGGGTTGCATGATTAGGGCGTGCTGCTTTCTGTAGCAGAGAGAACACAGGCAGAATGACATGGCGAGCATCAGGCAGCCACTGGCTACCCAGCCTGAATGAGCAAGTACCTTTTGCAGCTGGGTTTACAGTGTGCTGCCTTCAGTTTCAGTCCAGAACAAGGCTCAAACTCTGTATCTGGATTCATAGCCAACTATTAATTCACTGCTTCTCAAACGTTTCCCCATATGATCTTTTTTTTCTGAGGTGATGTCCTTGTTCCCTTCCAAACTTCCAGGCTTGCGGATGCACAGAGCATCATGCCATCTACACTGAGAAAACCTCTTTGAACCATTTTGTTGCCAGGTTCCTTCCTCTTCTGAAGTCCCTCATTTTTAATGCTTCTTTTGTCGTGTTCATCTCTTATGAATGTCTTTGTCCTTATCCTGGGCTTTGACAGGAGGTTGCTGAGGATTTGGAAAAATAGTAAGCACTAGATTTACATCCAGAATGAACCCTATACCAGGAGAGGCTTTACATCGTGGTGTTGGTGATACGGGCTCAAGATTGGCTATGTGGAACATGCACAACCCGTTCAAAGATTGGCGTCCCCCAGAGACCAGTTGTGACCCACAAGGCTAGAAAATGGAAGATGGGATCTCTGTGGCACTTTCAGAGTTGCCCTGTATCTACTTTGCTATTTGTGTTTTCATGTCATTAACCCTATGTATGTGTGACATGACAGCTTTAATTTCTAAATATTACCTGTATTTAAACTGTTAGTGGTTAAATATACCAATGAAAGCTCCAGTTTCTGTTCCATTAGTTGCAGGCCTCTTTGTAATTTTTTCCACTTACCTGTACATACATCTCCCTGTAATCCTCCCTGAGGAATAGAAATTGTTGAAGAATCACAATGAACTTGGTTTGTGTTGCCTGGGCAAAGAGGAGTCCAGTCTAGATGGACATGTTTGGATATTGCTGTCTCAAATTTATCCATGGTGCCTGCAGGGGACGTTGCAGTCATGCAATGCATCTGTTCTCACAACCCTCTTGTGGTCGCAGAGAAATGTTATTAGCTCAGCTTCTTCAATAGAGAGCTAGGGATCAAAAAGACCAGGCATAGCAATTTGTTTAGGAGACAAAATATTCAGCAGGATTTTTCCAGAGTGTAAAAGCATGTTAGAGATCTTTTCCTTGGGGAGACCCAGAGAAGAGTTCACTACATACTGTAATGTTTCAAGAGCCCTTTTGTAGGTTTGTTATGTGCTTGGGTGTTGGATCAGAGGTACACAGCCATCCGCTGAGAGTTTCAGTAGTTCATGATCAGCCTACATGAATTCTGGGCTTAAGTCCCTTCCCGTGGTCTGTAATGGAGCAGGGATTTAAGACCAAGACCAGAGTAGTGTCCAAGCCTCTGATTCTTCTGTCTATAAAGATCTTCCTGTGGTAAGGGACAGGGCTTTAAAAACCCAAATCACAATGAGTCATGGTAGGTTGATGGTGCAAGTCTGAAGATACTGTGGACCACACACTCCTGTAGTGTCTGTGGGGCTTCAGAGACCTCTACAGGTCCCTCCCAAACTAAATTATTTCACAATTTTAAGAAAAGGGTGGATGGATGGGAAGTACCAGTGATTATGAACTACTCAAATGAGTAGGAGACCAAGATGTGATAATCTGCTAAGACTTCCCTTTTCCTTTCAGTTTGGCAGGGCCCTGCGTCACTCGGCACTAGCCACAAGCAACAATGCCAGATGTTTGCTTCTGGGAGCAAGAGAAAATCTATTCAGATGAGGCCTCTGAAGGTACTGAGCGGGAGCTAGAAGATACAGACAGGGAAACAAGAGGGGAGTGGTACAGATCAAGAAAGCTTATGGGATGAAAAAGAACTGAGAGGTGGAGATGAGGAGATATCCCTTCTTCTGACTCTGTAGGTGTTGGATGTTGGTGTCACGTCTCCCTTTCTTGCTCCTTTCCCCTATCAGCTAAGTGTGCATAAGTGATTTCTGGCCACAGCTAACCTACCTGGAGAGTGAGACACAAGTGCCAAGACAGAAACACAGCAGGAAGTAACAGAGCAAACACAAAGAAGGTTTATGGAGTGGTGATAGAAATGTGCTGTTCTTTAAATGCCAGGAGAATAGATCAGGTTTAGGGCCAGAATAAGGGGAGACTGAGGGTGGGGGGAAGTGTTGAAGAAAGGGAAGTTTTCTGTTGCTGGTGGTTCTCCCACATGTTTAAAGCACAAATGCCACAAAGGTAGAATGAAAGCACTTTGTGTCTCCTGGGGTACTTTGTTAATGGCAGGAGAGTTAGCTCATGGCAGTTTGTACTGTCTGTGCTGCAGCTGTTAACCTAAACATAGTGAGGCAATGCTTGCATTACTGCCATTACCTATGAGTGTTACAGCGTTTTGCAGTACTGAGTCAATAACGTGTTGCTGCATCAGCATGGAGAGCAGGGTGCTGAGCAAAATGCCAGCTTTAAAATGCTGTGACAGAAAAGAAATTGTCCATGACAAAACTAGCACTACTGTGCTGTGGGTGCCAGGTAGACAACTGGTTTTTCTCTACCTTTTGAATCAAGCAGCAGCATATTCCATCCAGAAATTACTGCAGGACAATAGTAGGGAATAATGTTTCAATTGTTTATTTAATCAAATATTTTCACCCTGTGAAAGACACAAGGTTGCTGCATTCTCATTCCCCAAGTAACACTTTTCCTGGTCTTCATTCTGATTATATTTTTGTAAGGACGGAAGGAAGATAGTGTAAGATTTGTAAGAGGTGGACAGCCATGCCAGTCTCTTTTTCAAGCATTCTACCCCAGCTAGCTTGGTCTGGGTCACAGAGGAAAGAGCTTGTCCTGGGACCATGCAACCCTGTGCCTCAATGTAAACCAGAGCCAAAGGAGGTTTTGTGATGGGCTGGGATGACCTGTGGGTTGACTTGCTGACCAAGTCCTGCCTAAGACTATGCAAGTTTCAGTGCCAGGTGGTGAAGAGACTTCTTCTGGCCACTTAATGTCCCTGCCAGAAGGCAGGCAGGCAGGCAAGCATACTCCTATGAGAAAAACAGTGATAGCTGGAGATGTGGCATGTATTACAGATGCAGTACCAGGTGCACTTTGCACACACCCACAAGCCTCCCTCAGCACATTGTGTAGCCTGCTCTGGCACTGCTGGATTCAGCCTTGTGCTGCATAGAATCATAGAATAATTTAGATTGGAAAAGACCCTCAAGATCATCGAGTCCAAATGTAAACCTAACACTGCCAAGTCCACCAATAAACCATGTCCCTAGGCACCACGTCTACACATCTTTCAAATACCTCCAGGGATGGTGACTCAACTGCTTCTCTGGACAGCCTGTTCCAATGCTTGACAACCATTTCAGTGAAGAAATTTTTCCTAATATCCAATCTAAACCTTCCCTGGTGCAACTTGAGGCCATTTCCTCTTGTCCTATCACTTGTTACTAGGGGAAAAGAGACCGACACCCACATCGCTACAACCTCCTTTCAGGTAGCTGTAGGGAGCAATAAGGTCTCCCCTCAGCCTCCTTTTCTCCAGACTTAACAACCCCGGTTCCCTCAGCCTCTCCTCCTAAGACTTGTGCTCTAGACCCTTCACCAGCTTCATTGTTCTTTGGATGTGCTCCAGGAACTCAATGTCTTTCTTGTATTGAGGGGCCCAAAACTGAACACAGTATTTGAGGTGCGGCCTCACCAGTGCCAAGTACAAAGGGACAATCACTTTCCCTAGTCCATCACCCTCCCCTCCAAGAGACACGTTTTCAGGTCTCTTGCTGTAGACAGACACTCTTGCTGCTCTCTACCTGCCAGCCCCCCAGAGCTTGAACACCCCATAACACAGCTCCACTGCCAGGGAGGGGAGAGACCCTCTTCTTTCACACCAGTGAACATTTCCCCAAGCCTCATGAGGGCTAAGGAAGCCGATCTCAATCTTGCCCCAAGAAGAAAGGTGCAAGACTGGAGTTTCAGTGAACTACAACACCCCAGTGTTTATTAACTTCAGATTAGTGTGATAGGCACAACGCTGCATCCATGGGATATCTCCCCACACTCTAAGCTTGTTCCTTCAGCTTCTTCAGCAGGTCCCTCAGCTGCTCAATCTGGGCAGTCACGCTGCTCTTGGCAGTACCACCCATGGCTGTGTACTGCTCCACGCTGTTGACAACGTTGAAGACCTGGGAGACGTCACTGCCGAACAGCGGGCTGGGGAGTCAAAGAGAAGAGGGGTCAGTGGAGAGCGCTGGGTGCTGTTGGCTGGCTTTACGTGCTCCCTGCCTGCAGAGAGGGCGAGGGAGTGGAGACGGAGCCTTTTTCCAAGAGGAAAGCCCTCCTTGCAGCCCTGCTTCTGCCCTTCTACTGCCTGACAGTGGCTGCTTGTGGCAGACCAAAGAGTCAGCTCCAAGGGGAGAATGGGGAAGTTTGGAGCCAAACTCCTCAGAGGGCTGCTGCCTCCAGGTCAGGGCATGAGTTTCTCCCAGTCCCTCCCAAGAGCTGCTGCCTGTGCCCCACTGGAGCTGAACAGTACTGATGTTGTCCCCCTTTGGTATTTTCAGGCCCAGCAGTAGCAGCATTGATATTCAGGCCAGGAGGACTTTGGGGTGCTGTCTGGCCCAGGCATTTTGGGGAAGGGCACCATGAGGAGGCCCATATGCAGGGAGGCTGATATGTGCCTATTGAGGGGAGTCATGGCAAAATAATAGTGATACAAACCTGATGCTCTTCAGGTCATCCAGGCTGAGATTATTGATGGTGATGCCTTTAGACTCAGCAAGGTGGACGGCCTTCCCAGAGGCAGTGTGGGCTTGTCTGAATGGCATCTGCAGTGAGAAGCAGAGGCCGCAGTCAGTGACCAGGCAACTGGGGTGTATTTCAAAGGAAAAATTGGATGTGCTGTCTTTTTTGGTTGGCTTGATTTCACTAGGGCAATGCAATCTGAATCCGGGTTTTCTGGGGTGTGAAGAGGGGAGGCGTTAGGAGGTAAAACTCCACCTGTAAATTACTATCAAGTCCACCCGGCAGCAGTTCCACTACTTGGGATACATGTAAAGAATGGGTTTCCAGCTTTCGTGTTTGTTGACCCAGACTGATCATCACCTGGGGACAGAACAGAAGGCCTCATCTCAGGCCCTCACTGAGCAGTATTCTGCGTTCAAAGAAATCGCAGCTCCAAGTCTACCTCTGATACTTACTCCTTTACGAACCAAGTAGAGAGCCAGGTCAGTAGACAGCATCTCAGGGCTCAGTGCCTTCTCCATGTTCTCCTTGTTGATCTGCAGGAGAGTCAGAGGGTGACATTATTATGAGCTCCACCATGGGAACATGTTAGTGGTCACGGTGAGGGGACTTCATCTGGAAGGGACCTGGCTCTAAAAGGACCCTCTGACCCCCTGAGCAGCCGACAGTGGGGGCCATAATGAGCAGTATGGGTGAGGTATTGAGGAGCCTTCATCTTAGGACCAGTCCAGAGCTCTTTTACCCGTGTTACTCCCAGAATGTGTGCCCCAACCATGTTCAGTAGTGAGAGGCTGAAGCCTTACCTGGAGGGTAGAAATCACTCCAGTGGCAACCTGGAGCACAGCATTCAAGGTGTCCACAACATCAAAGACGGCCTCCTTGTCCTCCTGCGTTAGAACAGGGACGGAAATTGCTGTAAGTCAACCTGAGGCAGCCCAAAAACCCAAGAGCCTGAGCAGCCTAGCCGGCAGAGCAGGCATGTCATCCCAGGGGCTCATGCTAGGGGCCAGGCTGTCCACTGCAGCGTGCCGTGCCTCAGCCCCTTTCTCAGCATCCTGCACACAAGCAGGGTCTGTGCAGGGAAATGTAGTGGCAAGACTGCTCAGGAGCAGAAGACGGCCATGTCTGCTCAGAGAGATGGTGCGAAAACTAACATCTGTTTTACCTGCAGATCCTTGTTGTAGGTGCTTGGAAGTCCTTTGAGAACCATGAGAATAGCAGCCAACTGCAGAGAGAAACAGGTGAGGCAGTGAGTTGTAAGAAGTGAAGTGCATTGCCCCAGCAGAGGTTAAGAGCCTAGACTGGGCACATTTCTTCACACAGAGGCAAGAAGAAGGAAGATTCTTCAGCCCTGGTATGAGCAGTTTCCCCATCCCGCTTCTTTCTTTAGCAGGCTCACCCGTCCAAACACTCGTCCAGCTTTGCTGCGGATCAGTTCCAGACTGTCGGGGTTCTTCTTCTGAGGCATCATGCTGCTGCCAGTGCTGAAAGAAAGGTGTGTGCAGTGTAACGGTGAGCAAGACCCCAGTCCCTACAGACACAGGCTAAGACAGGTCCTGTGGCATACTGGCCCAGTCCTCCAAAAGTGACACGTAGGTCCCCCTTCCCTGGACACTTTTCTAGGGTGTGGGAAAGCAGTGCAATGAGTTTCTCATGTTTCCCACAGCAAAGCCTTTGGTTTTGCAGTCTTGTCTGGAGCTACTATGCAGTCCCACCTCTCAAAGAGGAAGCAAAAAGGAGGCTTGCCCCCAAGCCCTCCAGAGGTGGTATCAGCAGGCCAGCCTAAGTGTTGCTGTGAACTCAGAGAGGGTGGGAGGGCTGTGCTCTTGCCGCCCTGAGGGACAGGAAATGTGTTAGGACTGCAAACCCAGCTAGTCAAGGAAGGGCTTTGGCAGGCAATCCCAGCAGAGGAGGAAGTTGTCTCTGCCAGCAGTTGCTGGGGAGGAGTGTGTGCTGAATGCAGCCTTGGTTGAGTTACCAGAATCAGAAATAAGTGATCGTTACTGCGGAATATTCACCCTATGGCTGCCTTTCTGCCAGCCGTTTAATGCTGTGGCAGCCTTGTGCAGCAGGGAGACCCCAACCACTGTCTCAGTCTCTCAGGACAGGATAGCTGAGGATGAGAAGCTGAGGGGAAGGCTCTCTGCCCAGAGAACGGAGACCTACCTATAAGCATCAGAGAGGGTTAGAAAGCCAAACTCGCTGGTGCTGTAGATGATGAGATCTTCAGCCATCTTGCTAAGGTGGATCATCAGCAGGGTGGCAACAGAGAGGAATTCCACTGCAGAGAAGGCAGGAAATCGGTGTGAAATCAGGGTGAAAAAGGTGCTTGTTTGCTTGACAACCCAGGGAGCCCTGACTGGAGCTTTGGAGTTACTTCCTAGTGAGGGATTTCATTCCCCTTGTTAAAGGAGCTTAGCAGGGAAGGTCTCAGAGGCCTGTTTCTAAAATAGCGGTGGGAAGATGTGATTGGGTTGTGCTTACCCACAAAGTCTCTCTCGCTAACGGCATCCATGCTGTTCAGGCTGATGGAAGCAAAGTCCAGCTCTGTAAGGAAGGTGATGGACAGAGGAGGTCAGGCTTGGCCTGTCTGGAGCTAGAATGCATCAGGCTACCCAAGCATGCAGGTGACTGTGAGTCCTTGCATAGTCCCAGGAAAACAAACATGCTTAAGTGTTATACTGACTGGTGTCTTTATTATTAGCCCCAGGCAGTCAGTGTGCAGCAGAGGTGGCTCTTCTTGCTCCAACTTCACAGGCATTGCCTGTCTCATTGCAGTGAAAAGCCTTATGAAAGAAAGGCTTTGGCTCCAGGACAGTGCATTACGGTGCCTGTGGGACCCATATATCAATGCTTCCCTCCCTCCTAGATATTACAAGTAGCCCTGTGCCACTCAATTATAGGGAGACATTTACCACTACGCAGAAGCTCTCTATCAATTTCCAGTGGGTTGCCAGCCAAAGCACCGCTGCCAGGGGAGAAAGAAACACAAGTCATGCATGATATCCTCCACACTTCAACCAAAACTGAGCTCTAGAACGCAGTGATGACAGTTGTCCGAAGTTTTCCCTCCCCCAGTTCATTTTGATGTCATACAGTTTGGCCTGAGGCTCAGAAAACTCTGAACTTTGGAGTAAACCAGAAGTTCTCTTCCAAAGAGGGAGGTATGCTTGACAAAAGCCTTGTAGTTCTTAATTTCAATAAGGGAGAAGAAGCCGTGAAATTAAGGGTTCAAAAAGAACCCTTCTTTATCACACAGTATCTCTGTGGTGAGAGTCTTCTCTTTGGAACAGTCTTCTCTTTGGTGAGAGAAGCAAGGTTTATGCCCTCGCAGCTCTGCAGCGCATATGGTATACAATCCCCAGTGGTTCAGGGGATGTAAAGATCGCCTCTTAGCCATTTCGCAGAGAAAAGTGAGGCCCAAAGATTACACAGAAAGTAAACATTACCTTCCCAAAGGCAAGACGTTGATCCTCCTCTTCACCTCTCCCAGGCGCTCAGAATCACGGGTCAGAGCCACAGCATGGCTATGAAAGTACATGAGACGTGAAACACCTGAAGTCAGAAAATGTCACACAACCCAAGAGGTAAGAGTGGCCAAAGGATGGAGCATACAGGGAGTCGGCCTCCACTGCCCACACAGTGCTTGGGTGCCCAGTTGGTCAAAGCCACACAGGAACATGGGGAGCTCCTGTTCCAGTTTGCAGGGTTACCTCTGGTTTCTCATCACCCCCGGCTGCCCCCTCAGAGCATAATGCACTTCTAGGCTCCAGCTGAGCAGGGCCCCAAGGGTGGAGAAGGCTTCCTTCAGCCAAGTGTGAAAGGTGGTTGGTTACCTGAGCAAGAACTGGCTCCACCTGATGGGCTGAGCTTTCTGCAGGTGGGTGTAGCCAGGCAAGATAACATCAATTTCTCTGCATGTGAAAGGAGAGAAAGAGGTGAGCAGCTGCTGTCAGGACAGAGGGCAGTGGCAGGTACACTCCAGGCTTTCCTGGCAAGGTCGCAAAGAGAACATCTTTAGCCTGTGTTGTACTGAAGTTGGGTCTATCTCTTTCTCTGCCTTTCACCTTTCAACCTAAGCACATTGGGTTTAGATCTCCTGATCTTCCAGTGTGGTGTGTCTGCCCTAGGCTTCCCTGGAAGATTGCCTGGTACAGCAATCCCTCTGTGGCAGGCAAAGATTCCCCAGTCCACCACCATTTGGCAGTGTGGTGTGTGAAGAGGAGAGTTATACAGGGACTTAACACAGCTGAGTTTTTCTCATACGTAGCAACTTGAAACACGTTCAAGTTCCCCACTCCTTCAGATGGCTTTGGTGCCTTCTGAAGTCTTGTGTGGACCTCCCACCGCAATTTCTTTGCTAGGGTAGACTGGGGGAAGAGGAAGGTCTCTGTGACATGAACTGTGGAGAAAGGGGGTCCGTTTTCTTTCCCTGTGCTACCACACACCGCCTGTCTGTAACTTCCTCCGCAGGAGACTCTGCTGCTGCCCTGATCGGTATCTGTCAAAGAGCAAGCCTAGAAGTCTCCAGCCCCAGCAAGGCCACGGCCATGGATATGGAAGAGGACTTACATGGCAGCGCGTTCCACCAGGGTCTTAATGAGCTGCAGGAGGTGAGTGGAGATGACAGAGAGGGAATTCTTCATGAACAGCTTCAAGTCAGTCACAACCTGTATGAGATTGGCCACAGACAGGCAAAGCAGAATGTGACATACTTAGTGACTGGCCACTTTTACTGCAAAGTAAACCCCTCCTTGTTCTGTGTGATGGAAAGTTGCATCTTCCTCTCATCATTTAGTAATTTTGATGTGGTAATCTCACTATATCTTGCTCTCCAGCAGGACAGCAAAAGGCCTTTCTGGTCCATGGTGTCCTGAACTGAGGTTGGGGAGGAGTACAGAAGGAGGAAAAACAACCAGTTCTGTACATACCTGATCATTCCTGCTTCTTCCAGTGTGCAGCTTTCCAGCTATGTCTCCAATCAGCTCCTGAGGACAAAAGGAGGATTTCTATCAGCGACTCTGTATTCTACGAAGGAGACTCCACATGAGCAGACCTCCTCCTTGCCTGCAAGGGACTCAGCGCTAGGATCCTGTGAGTAGCCATGGGATCTCTTCTGGGGAAGGGCAAGTTTGGGTTCTATGCTTGTACAGTGCTCCTTCCACAAAAAGGGTGTTGGAGACACTTGATTGTGCACCTGGGGTTTCAGTGCCACAAGGTCCAGAGGAATTTCACAGTGGGACAGAGGAGCATGCACTTAATGTCAGGCAGATCTAGCTACAGAGGAATGGGAACAAGAGGTTAGAGGACCCAACCCTTTAGTCTGCGTTCGTTGGCAGTGTGGATATCCTCATCGCTTTGGGTCACCACAAAGACTCCTTTAGACCATTCCTCAGAGATCTACAAACATCAGCAGAAACACCAGTCAGCCACTACGGTTACCCTGCTGCGCGTGGGGGCTGTAAGTGTCCCCAGCAAATACCAGCTTCTGCCCTCCCAATGAAATCAAAGTGTTAAGTCTTACACAAGCTCTGACATTCCTGTTCTTTCAAGCCAAGGCTGGCTGCTTGCTGTATCCTGGTATTCTATACTGCACTTGGTGGGATTCCTCTCTCTACCCATGATGATCCTGCTGCATTATGGCTACAGGAGGATTTAAGCATTGCAACGACAAAGTGAGCTGAAATGTCAGTGATTGCTTTAGCATTGTCCACAAAGATCTTCCTATACACACATTGTATAGTGTCACCATTGTCCGTGGCGGGTGAGCAACAACAATGGATATTTTAAAAAAGCGTTTAGCTGCTGACTTCTCTTCACCCCTATACAATGCTATGCATTGCCTTCTCCTAACTCGGGCAGCCAGACTCAGAACGATCCCAAGTGCCAGCAGAAAAAGAATATGCCTAATTCATACTGAAACAGTTCCTGGTGAATGTTCAGTCTGAAGAGGATGGGCGGGCAGGTCACACTCAGCACACCTCACCGAGGCACCGGGGCTGCCATAAGGAGCATTGACAGTGTGCGCATCAGGGCTTCAGGCTGTCACTGGTTCCCATCCTACTGTTGGGCTTTGGTGCCTTTAGCGGGGTGCAGTTTGAGCATCGATCCCCTGCCCAGAATGTCTCCAGCAGTACCGAGTGCAATACGCATGGGCTTGTCATGTCTATGATGTAGGAGAGCAATCCCTTTCAGGAAAGCACTTCAGCACATGCCTAGCTCTAAGGAATGGGACATTTAAAGATGCTTTTTAGAACAGCAACTCAGGGAGGCTACTACGGATGCTGTCAGAAAAGCAGCCATTCATTCCAGCACACGTGACAGATGTAAAGGAAATAAGTACCTTTTCCAGGCCACTCAGGATCTTCTCCAGCTCAGTTTTAGATAGGATTCCAGCCTTCTCCAAGGCTTTGGCATATGCCATGCTCCCCTGGACATCAACCTCAGACAGTCTTTGATCACAGGTAATGGAAGAGCTGAGCATCTCCATGACTGGATCTGTACTTCCAACAAACCTTCCTCCCAACATTTTATCCCCCTGCAAGTAATGAAGTTAAGAGGCATGTTCAAAAGACTTACCGATATATCCCCTAAAAATCAGTTAATGTCCATCCCACTCTTTATCCAAGTAGAACTGAGGACATATTCAGGAGTGTTTTTTTCTGTACCATTGACCAGAAATGCTCTGGACTTTAAGACCTTTGGCAAGTAGTTGTAGAGGTGGAAAACATGTCACTGTCACTAGCATTTAGCCCTTGAGGCGTCAGGTGTGGCTCAGGAATCCTCCAAGATACTTTACTCCTGCAGCATTCTGGAGGGAGTATGTCCTGTCCATGAAAATGAATATCAGGGCATATGGTGCAAGACCAGCGTGGATCTCTCTTTTAAGGCAGCTGCTGATCACTGACCCTTTGATAGTCTCCTGACAGGGAAAAAAAGTAAGGGAGTCAGGGATATATGAAAGCTAGTATCTACTGTTACTTGAAATAATAATTAAAAAACTCCCACTCTTTAGGTAGACTATAAGAAAATACTCGGTTGACAAAGAGCTGTGGGCCAGCACAAGCCACGTTATGAAGTGTTTGAAGTTACCGTTTGAAGCATCTCCAGAGTCCATGATGTTCTTGCAAGCTTTGGCATAAAATTAGCATAAAACTGGTTAAGGAGTGGACTGCAAAAAGGGAGGTCTGGGTACCTTTCAGTATTACAAATGTTCGGTTAAAATGAAAGAAAAAAACCCACAGCCCCAAACTACCCTCCAAAAGGTCCCTGAAGCTGCGCGGCGCCGGGCTGCCGGGCTGCCCGCCGAGCTACCATGGACAGCGGGCGGCTGCCGGGGCCGGCACCCCGGGGCCGGTGACCCGAGCAACCCTTTCCCCATCAACTGTGTGCCTGAGAGGCGAGCAGGGGGGAGCCTGCGGAGGTCAGGGTGCAAGTTACGGGGTGCTGGAGATCTCTTTCTGAAGCAGAGGCGAAATGGGAGTTGAAAAAGCAAAGTTTTGCAGCTCCTGGCTTGGAAACCGGTCCGCTGGGACCAGTGGCAGAGGGGATGGGGCGTGAGAGGCCAGTGCTGGGGGCTAAGTGCTTGGAGGGGGAAGAGGCATCTAAGTGTATCTTCGCTGCTGTGGGTTTTCACCACCAGAATCAGAGGTGAGGCGTCGGAACTATGGCAGCAAAGACGTTTGCTGTCCCCTTCTCCATTTAAAACCCGGGAAAACACATCAAGTAGAGAAGCACCCGAAGGAGCACGGCAGGTCGCAGTGCTGGGGCCATCACGGAGTTGAGCTCGCGTCTGCCAGACCACCCCGAGACCAGCCCCGCCGGAGAAGCAAAGTTCACCCTCACCTCGGCTGCCATTTCGGACGACGTTTTGCTCGCTTGTGCGGCGATCCCGGCAGCTGGTGCAACCTGCGGAACAGCGAGGCGAGGCGAGGTGAGGCTCTGCCGCCCGCCCCGCTCCCGGTGCCGGTGCCGGTGCCGGTGCCGGTGCCGGTGGGGGGTCCCCGGTGCCCGCCCGGCCCCGCTCACCTGCTCCGTAGCGCAGCCCCGGCTGGTCGCTCGCTGCTCCCCGGCCCCGCCGCCCCGCTTTTACACGCCTCGGAGCGGGGCTGGCGGCTCGTCCCGCCCCGGCGGGGCGGGGTGTCCCCGGGGACGGCCCCGCTCCGGTCCCCCTCCTCTCAGCCCCCTTCGCCCTTCTCTCTCCTGCCTCCGGTCTCTGCTCGACCAGCGCATGACGAGCAAGTTAGGAAGAGATGTTCCTCCGGAGGCAGCGTTGCTGCAAGGAGGAGGGTTGGGAGAGACGCTGTCGTGTTGCTTATTAGTGAAGTTATTGGGGTAGCTTTAGGCAGTGCTCCTGCAGTGCCAGAGGGTCGTCTTGTGTGCGGACAGGTCAGCTCCTTTTCTGGGAATGTCCTTGTACTGAAGGAGTCCCATCGCTTTGTGTCATACCCCCCTAACGAGTAGTCTTTGATATGAATGTAATTGATATGATGGCTGGATCATTGTTGCTCTGTCCCCTTTGTCACCCCGGCAAACACAAGAATAAAATAGATGGGAGCTAGTTGCTCGTTCCCATTTCTGTGGGGATGAGACTTTTCACCCCACTTGTAAGTATGCTGCAGCTCCAGCTTTGGGGCTTCCCTGCTGTCACCAGTTGCATGGGGTCACTCTTGCCAAGAGGCTCCTGTGAGCCACAGACTGTGGCTGTGGGGTGTGAGGTTGTGCTCTGCTTGGCAAAAAGCCCATATCTTAAACTCATCGAACCCTATAAATATGGAAGTAAAGAACTGATTTAAAATATGAGAGGGCTTTGGGAACAGCCACTCGCAAAGCTATGGCTCAGAACCAATTTCTCATTAACTCCTCAGACACAGAGGGCTCTTTTCTGCAGCCACTCCACAGAAAGCTGAATGGTTGTTGGTTCACCTTACTGAGTGTACTACTACAGTGTCATATTTTTCCATCTGCATGGTCCAAACCTTTCAGAGAGCTCAGGAATCATATTCCAACCTTCTCATCCGCATTTTGTTGGGTTATTTTCTTCCCTTTAACTGACCCTCTTGTCCTTTTCTGCTCTTCTCTCAGTTCTGCAACTTATCTCCCTTTCCTTTTTACAATAGGACATTTACACTAGGAAACAGTGCTTGATCATTTTGTGATCATGTTCCTTCCTATTCTGAAATCGCTCATTTTTACTACTTTTCTTGTCCTTTTCACCCTTTAGGAGTGTCCTTGTTCTTACTCTGGGCTTTGACAGGAGATTGCTGGTGTGTTGGGAAAATAAAAGCACTGAATTTATAACCAGAGTGACTATGTCAATAAGATCTTAATAATCTATGTCTGATATTACATGTGGCAAGGACGCGTGCTTTCACATGGATCTGTCAGCAGTATCGCTGTGTGTGTTTAGAAAAATTCATAGGGATTAGTTTGCTTGTAGTACACTGCTTAACTCCTGTCCCAGTTTGTATCTCAGATTATTGATGCTCTCTTTTCCCATTTTTAGATGAAACAGGCAATAACTATCATTTCTTTATAATAAGCAGTGTAGAGTATAAAGTAATAATTTTATAGGAAAAATGGAAATGAAATTGTAAATCCAAGCAGAAGGCATTAACGTAAAAGTGAACATTGAAGAAATAGGATTTCTTAACAACACTTGGATCTGGAGAGATGAAAAGAGGGAAACCGTGAAATAGCATTGCAAAATAGGTTTTCTAATGCACACTGAAATGTACTCTCATTACTGTCTTCTCTATTTGTTCTGGTTTGAATGTCTCTCCACTTCCCATCATATTCTTTCAGTATTTTATTTGCTTAGTGAAATAGAAAGATGACCCCCCCCAAATCCCCACCCCACAGTTAAATACCAAGGAAGGCCTGAGGGAAAAGTCTTCCACTTATTTTCCCTTCTGGCACAGCAAATGGCACATTGTTCATAAATATTCCCAGCTACACCCTTTCCCAAGCTGATGTACAATGAGGTAGTACTAGACAGGAAATTGCCCATTTTGCAGCACGGAGAAGTTTAATTAAATATATTTTAATGCCCTCAAAGATTTGAACTTTATTTGTGCTTGCTTTTGTAATCAGTCACAACCTTACTATTTCTTTTAGAGTGCATTTTTGTTGGAAGAGTGCAATACTTGGGGAGTGCAGCTCTGAAGGAGTGCTTTAGTGGTCTCTAGAAATGCACTTTTCATAACAGGACTTATTTTCATAACTGAGTCCAGTGAAGAAAAAGGATGGCATAAACTGCTACAGTGTACCTTCTTTAAAAACATTCTTATTTAACTGTCATTTTGGTTTAGAAAAAGAAAAAAAGCTCTATGAGCTGAAAGTGCTAGTCAAACGCACTGTCAGCTAGACTGATGTGAAGCGGTGCTGACATTTTTTGTTAAAAAAAAAACTTTGTTTAATGAATTTTGAATGTAAAAGAAAAAAAGACACTATAGGGTGATCAGTGAAATGCTGAATACAGTAAACATCTTTCATGACAAAGAATACAAATACCCTGCAGATCTGCTTTCAATAGCAATTACTAGGCCCCCTGCTTTCAATAGTTAATACCGAGGCCCCTCTCTCACCAAGCCTTAGTGGTAACAATCACAAGCCAATGCTTAAAATGTTGACATGCTAAGCACATTTAGAAAAACCTATGTCTGCATTCCCTATGGATGGTGTAGCATAACTGTCTAACACTTAAAGTGCAGCAATTAAAAACAAAGTGAAGTGAGCTAATCACCTCATCTCCTGAGAAGTTGTATGTAAGGGTAACGAGTTCTCTCTTGGATATTCCCTTTCTCCCTTGCATGGTGTCAGTGGACCTGTAGCTGGTCCATGTATGTATTTACACCCTAACAGGCTATATGTCTCCATTGGAAAATATTTAGGAATAATGTCTCTATTAGAAAAAAACCTGAAAGCTGTTCAGAGAGGCATTTGTATTATGCTCATTCATCCCAGCTGCTGGGATTGGGCATCATCATCATCATGGATTGTAAAAATGTATCAGCAAAGATCTGGAATGAAACTTTTGGAGAAACAGTGAAAATGGAGATGATAAATTGGTGCTTGGGGAGAGATACAAAGGGGAGAAGCAAAGGAGAAATAAAATTAGTATGCTGAAGATTCTGAACCCATATCTAAAGAGAGTGATGAGAGGCAGGCAAGGATTAGTAGATTTCTGGAACAAAACTCTGAAATTTGATAGTCTAGAAATATGATATTTTCAAATGAAAGCTGACATCCTTTCCCTTCTTTTCTTCCCTTTAGCCTGACTGGGAGCTGGCATACAGGCAGTTTCATGTGCAGAGTTTGAAACATGGCAGAGAAGTTACAGAGCATTTGTTGTGCCGGTTTTGGCCAATTTACAAGGTCAGTTAATCCTGACATGAAAAAGGACAGCATCCGTTGCATCCTGTCCACTGGGTCAGACCAACAGCTGTCAATCAGCATTTTGATGACCTTTCTCCTGGCTCTTTTTCCACAGGACTCCATGACAAATTATTCTGGAGTATAAATGAATTTCTATCTGTACTACAATCTGTATGTGATGGGGTCCACATGTCCACTGAAACTTTTTTATGAGTCTTCAACTGAAAAGGGCAGAAAAAGCTTTGCAGTAGGCTTTTAAACTTTGTCCAGCATTTCGGTGTCTGATGATGATGGTTCCTGGAGAGCTGGGAGGTGGTTGTTGCCTGCTGTCCTGGCACTGAAGACTGTTCCTGAAGCGCTGCAGTTTGCTCACGTTATTCAGAACTGGCTTAGAATTTGCAACACCCCAAGGAGCATCAAAGTCCCAAAAGTGGAAATGCACTTTATTCTGGCTTGATTCTGAGGAGAAAAGTGGCTGGTGGATTTTGTGCTAGTATTGCAAGACAGAGGTTGTGAGCACAAGTCTAGTCCATTTGGTTCCTTAGTTTGCTCTTACAGCCCTGCTGCAAACAAGCAAGTGTGTGTGTATGTGACTCCTTAGGGAGTTAGTGGTGTTGTGTTTGCATATAAACTTTTGCCTGAGAGATAATGGCAAAATGAAGTAATTAATGTTTCCCTGGCTCTCAGTCTCTGAGCCAGACAGTTTTCCTTGCTGTAGCCAATAGAACTTTCAGCTATTTGCACTCAGTGAAGTGTCTTCAGTTTTCTCAAGAATGAAAAGGGCTCTTGCAAAATTTAATGGCACATATATTAAATGAGAAAGAATCACAGTGGTGGTAGGAAAAGACATATGATGCTGATAAGCCTGGTAAAATGTCTGTAGAGGTGCTTAAAAGATAATAGCAGGATTACACTAGTTCAGCCTTACAGTATTGTTTGCACATGGCTAGATTTTATTTGGAAGGACCTCTACAATACTGTTTTCCCCTTGTCATCATGCTTAACAGTGGCTAGCTGTCAGAACCTGAGTAGTTTTTTTCAGAACATGTTTTGTCACAAATAAGATTTATTGTACCGTTTTCTGTGAAAGGAGTTACAACTCACGTGGCGGGAAAGCGTTGAGTATCACCGGCATTGGTGGTTCAGTGGTAGAATTCTCGCCTGCCACGCGGGAGGCCCGGGTTCGATTCCCGGCCAATGCAGTTGGATTTTTCTTTTTTTTTTTCTTGCCTTCCCCCGCACTTTATTTCTCCTTCCTTTTCCGCTTCCGTCCCGGTCGCCAAAGCCTCCTTCGGCTCAACCCCGACCTGCCCCGCACTCCCCTCGCCGGGCGGGCTACGAGTGTGTGAGGCGAAGTTCCGCGGCGAGGCGGCGGCCGGGGCCGGCCTCCGCGTGCGGCTGCGCCCGGGGCGGACAAGATGGAGGTGTAAGGAGCGGCGGGGAGGGAGCGGGGACGGGCCGCTGCCGCCTCCCCCCCAGCTCCGACCCTTCCGTGGCGGCAGTGGGGGCTCCGGGGCCGGGGGGTGTGTGTGTGGGTACATCTGTATGGGCCTGCCTGAGGTGTGTGTGTGGGGGGGGTATATCTGTATGGGCCTGCCTGAGGTGTATGGGGGGGCGGGTAGGTATATTGGGCCTTTAACACCCCGATAACTAGCAGCGTGTTCAGGCATTCTGTGGAGAAACTGAGGATTTTTCGTTTGCTTTCAAAATCTTGCTGAAGCGTCTGTTTGTTTGCGCAAAAGGCGTCGGTGGGTTAGCTGGAATCCCGCTCTCCGTCCCCATCTCCCCTGTCCCCTTGTGCTCCCTTCTCTCTTCTGGGATGGGAGAGGTGAAACGGGAATCCACTGCTGCAGCCTCTGGGAGAGACTTATTCCTGTGAGCCTCAGGTAGACAACTCATTGTAGCAGCTGAACATGCTGGAGGAGAAAACCGAACGGTGTGTGCCAGCTATTGGACACACAAGAGGGGAGTCAAAATTTTGGCTAGCTGGTAATTTGGGGTAGTTACACCAGCCAGCCCCCAGGCTGCCGTCCTAGGCAGCAAGTTTTGTTGCCTTCCTATGCTGACAGCGCTATGTGTGTCACCTGGGCCCAAAACAATAGGGTTTGACCTATTTTGAAGCTTAGAAACTCATTAGGTCCGTGGAGCCCATTACAGTCTGTGGTTATATATGTGTACGTGGCGCTGGTTTCTAATGAGCGGGGGCACAGAGGATGCCAGTTCTGTAGGATGTATGCCAGCATCCACCAAAGTCAGCTGACCTATTGGAGTTCACGTTATTCATGGATGCTTTATCATTAAATCTTCTATACTGTTACAATTAAATATTCTATACATAAAATTCCAAAGCAGATAAGAAACATCCATTGAAATATGGGTTTGTATTACGTTAGCCTTAATGAGTAGCAGCCTGCAGGGAAATGAGCTGTTCTTGCTGTTGTAAAAATGCTGTGAAACATATATAGGCTGAAAGTTGCTGGTCCATGTGAGGAAAGATAGGATTTGCCCTGCTGAGAAATATGCTTTTGGTACCATTAATAGTAAGTCCGTGATGCTGCTTATACATCCACTTGTTTTTTATTACCTTGAGTAGCCCAATTTATTTTACTGGTCTACCTCTTTTGGTACCAATAGGAAGGCACATCAGAGCTAGAAGACCTGGAGGCTGAAGTCCTGAGCTGTGGGTGAATGTCCCTTGCATTGGAATGGAACAGTTTAGTCCATTTTGCACTTGAGTTACTGTTGGAATTTAATCTTACTAAGCTCTTGCCTCCTGCCCAATGGACTTTATAGAGGGATGCTGTGCAACTCGGAGAACCTCACGAAGTTCTTACCATGTCAGAAGTATCTGTTATTAGAGAAAAGAACCCTCCAGAAAATGTTGGGGTTTAAATATGCAAAGTATTTTAAGCAGTACATTTAAAACCATGAAGTGTCAGTAATATTTTTAGAGGTGTGATGCCACATACTAAGATAATTTTTGATATATGCAGAAGAGCTTCTCAAGAATGTTTTGGTTTGGACTAAAATCAGGGAAAATACTACCTATTTAAAGATTCTAAAAAGAATTTTTACATTTGGTCTTAACATGACATTTTTTTTCCTTTCTGTTTAAGTCTTAATCTTGTAAAAATTAAGCATACTGTTTAGTTGACTACTTAAAAATATACATTAGAATTCATTATTTATAATTTCTTATTTTCTGAATGTAAAATTAATAGTTGCTTCATGAAAGTTAGGACTGAAGAAAATTGTATTTCTGCTTTATAAGTTCTGCAAAAGTTTTTGAAACTGGTCTTGTTTATCAGTTTGTAATTCTGGTTATTCAGCACAACAAAAATTGTTGAAGAATTTGAGACTGACTCATTTGCTATCCATTGTTAGAAGAAAAAAGTAATTTTCTGAATGACGAAGTGTTTTTGTCTTAAATAATTTAATTTCAGATAGATTTCAGACTCATTTGCATAGTAATGTATTTACTCTATATGACCCTTTTACTTATTTAACTGAATAATTCCATATATAATTCTTCTATGGCATTATTATTTCTAACAAAGAATGTCTTTGATCCATAGGGATTTCTGTAGTGATAGCCTGAATGCAAACATTCTGAAGAATTGCATTTACCTAACAACAAAAGCTATATGGTTTGTAAAACATGAATGAAAACTAATGCGTGTGTGAGCTCACTTGCTGAAGTTTCACTCGAGTCAGCGAAATGGAAGTTGAAGTTCATCTCAGCGTATTTTAGAAGGTCCTTTTCATTTAAAAACAATGATAGAACCTGTGGAAGTTTGTGGACGCATTTAACTCATTTGAAAGTGATGAACGTGACAGTTCTATTCAAACAGTTAATGGTGCTTAACAATACATTGTACCTTTTTTTTCTTTTTTTCATAAGCTGCTGCACAGACCTGAGAAAGGCCTTTTTTGTCTTTTGTATGGAAACTTTCTGTTGTTGTGGCTACTGACTGCTCAGCAGAACGTGTTGTATGGGGAATACATGATGTTCTGTGTCAATTTTTCTCCCTTTTTTAAAATTTAAAAATATAAAATTCCAATATGCAGTAGTAATAGATGTGTGATTAGTCTAAATATGTGCTTGACTCGGTGCGTTCAGCCTACTAGCAGTGGATAATGATTCTTGCTTAACTGGGACAGAATTAATGGGGAAGTGTTTGGCTGGTGGAAAATGGGAAACTCAGCCTTAGCTGCTAATAAAGGAGTAGCCACATAAAGATTCAAAGAATAAATAAAGAGGAAGTGCAGTAAGTTTTGGGTTTTTTACTCAGTACAGTATGTGTAAATACAGTGCCATATCTATATCTATGCACACACGTACATTGTGCTAAAAATAGTAACTGTATTTTCTTTTTCCATGATCTTGGCTAATAAATAAATAGTGTGTGTAATCTGAATGATTTTTGCTGTCAGTCTTTATTCAAATAAAACTGGAGGCCCTTTTTTGTAAGAAAGAGGTAAGACAATTTGGTTTTAGTTTGTAAAATTGGATGAGTGAATGAAATTGTGTGGCTGAGTAAAAAGATTATAAGTGTATTATGATTTATGGGGCAAGTTGTGCAAAATATACTGTGTAATTATGTAATGATTCTACTAAAAATATGGAAAAATATTTTCCAGAGGTGGCAACAACTTATTAACTGTAGAGTCACCAAAAATAGATCTCTTGATGATTTTTTTTTTGTAACTTTATGAAAGTAGCGTTTGTTCTCTTAGAGTCTGCGTGACTCAGCAAAGAAAAATTTTAGTCAGTTTCATTTGGAACATATATTAATAATTTTCATTTTTCCTTGTAGAAAAGATGCAAATGCCGCATTGCTAAGTAACTTTGAGGTAAGTTTATCTGTGTCCCGGTTTTAAACCAGCAGTTTAAAGCTGTAATCAGTCACTTGTATACTCTGGAAGCTGAAAATTGCCAGTGGCAATCAGCAAGACCTGTATGTGATTTCCACTACCTCCGTTTGATTTGTTATTAAGAAAAAAACTTTTTAAAGAAAATCTAGTTTTCTAGAAAATTACTAGTTTTCACTAGTAATGGGTACTGTATTATTATTTCATTGGTCCCAAATCTGTAAAAACAAATATAAATATGTTTTTCAAATAGACAAGGAGCAGATCTGTAGAATGTCAGTAACTAACTTCAGCCTTGTCGTATTTATGCTGTTGCTGTGTGGTTTTGTTGAATCATCTTGTGTATGGTGGTTTGTTATTTAGGATTTGATTCTCCACATCTTAAAACACTTGTGTATGTGGGAAGCGCAGTGGATTGACTGGTGCTTTGTATGATGTATGGTGTATCAGATCCCAGATCAAGAATGTTGACATCTCTGTAACGGGGCAGCAATGTCCAAAATATCTTTTTTTATTTTATTTTATCTTGTGATAAGCCAATATACCACCAAGTGTATGACACACTGATTGCTGGAGTGTCTTTAATATTGCAAATAAAAATTCTCGCAGAAAAATTCAAACATTTTTCACAGATGGCTGCTGCTAGAATCAGTGTTTCATATTTAACCTTGTAATGTGCAATATCATCTGAGAACCTATAACTCATTAATGCATAGTTTTATTAAAGCCAGTGCTACTGGAAGCACAGTCTTAGATCTCTGAATGCTTGACAGTATTTTTTTTAAAGATCTTGAGGTGTTTCCAAAGCAGTTTAGGTTATAGTAGGCATGAGGCCATTTGCTGATCTTAGATGTGTTACTCATGATAAACACTCCTGGAAGCCAGTGATGTACTTTGATCTGGTGTCATGGGGAAGGTGCAGTGTCCTGTCATAACAAACAATGAATATTGCCATACAAATAAAAAACAAACAAATCTTATTTTCTAGTGTAGGTAAGTTCTGAATAATTTTCCTCTCTCCTGAGTAAAGGTATTTTTTTAGTGAGGTAGAAAGAAATATAGTGGTGGTGTTGGTTTAATTTCAGCCAGGTAGTGGAAAGATTTCAGTGCTTTGTTTATGAATGTCACTTTTTTGAATGGTTTTAATAACCCAAGTATGTTGTTTATATTGTTTTATTGCTGAAGCCTGAAAGTGGCACAGCTGTTTCATCCTATTCTGAAATAAATCTTGAAATGTTTTATCTTGAGCCCCATCTGTCTGCATATAGCAGAGCAACCATCTGGTGACTCTTAGAAGGGCTTTAATGGGGTACTTGGAAAGAACTGTCTTGCCTAAGACATAGATGATATGTCAGCCAAAGTAGTATTAAGTGTCTGTTTGTTAAAAGATGTACTATTCCAGTACAGAAAATAGCAAGTATTTCAGAGATTATTTATTGCAAAATCATCTCTGCTTCCTTCTTCTTCATTTGCTGAGATATTTGTTGGAATCTAGGTATTACTGCCTGCTGAGGTTCAAGTAGTGGTGTCAGTCACATTATGTAAAATCTGTAGATGTCCTAAGGTTTGGTCCAGAATAGGGAGAATTGCAGAATCCATTCTTCATGCTCTTCAGTCAGAACTTTCTTCAGCTGAGTCTTTTTGTTGGTGAATATACTCTGTGTGTTGAAAAAGAGCAAAAGGAAGTGGAAAACGAAGTTACTGATGAGAGTGCTTATTTCTCATTTCCCTTTCACAGCACAGTTGTCGCATGCAGCCTTTCGTTTCTTTGCAGGAAGGGATTTGCAGTGCCTGCAGCTATAGGCTTTTGGGCATGGCTTTTCACTGCTCTTCAAAGTACTGATTCCCCTAAAACTACCGATCTCTTTCTGTTTGCTCCTCTTCCCAGTTGCAATTTGACTAGCATAGCTAACATTCTCATTCTCGAGGTAATATTTTGCACAGAAAGTGGTGTTTGAAAGGAGTATTTGAGACTGACATATTGTATGTCCTATGCCTACATTTATTCTGTGAGTTTGGAGTTGTGATTTCGTATCTCGTTGTCACTGGCTATATTTTCTTCAAGTATTTATTAGATAAAAGTTCATAGCTTCAGTTTTGCCTTTCAAGTGAGGATTGACTACTGGTGGTTGATACACAAGGTGTTCCTTTTTCGTAGAAGATGCAGTATAAAGTAATTGCAGGATCTGTAGCTGGTAATGTTCTTATTTCTCGCTGTCTGGAAATGTTTGTATTTTATTTCTATGGACTTGTCAGTTTATAATGCCATTGGATCTGGATCTTGAATGAAGCTAGTTAAAAATTAGGGGATAAACAGTAAGAAGCGGTCTGTTACTTTGCTCTGGTTATTGGCTCCGGATATACCGTAAAGCCTGAAGCAAAACATCTGAAGAAATTTCAACCTAATGTGATTTAATATGGGAATAAAAGAGTAATTGTGATGCTGTCTCAATATTTTGGTGCATATCTGTCTATGATGAATAAAGATGTTTTGTTGCAACAGATTTGACAAAGCACAATTGCAAAAATCAAAATGTCTTCTTTCCCTTCAGACTTACCCTCTGAATCTCAGTCCTACATTAATATTCACTGCATCATAAATGTGAAGACAACTTTATTACATTTGTTTCAGGAACGTCTGCTTGTATTACGTTGTTGTGATGAAATAGGGAGCTAATTTAATCTTTGTGGCTTAACATACCATAACACCATGCTGGTCACTGTAACATTTACTATTATGAATAACTCCACTGGAATTTACAATAGGATCACTAATCTCAGGAGCATCTATAGGTCAAGCCTTTATTTAGTTGGTTCCTGGCAGCGTGACACTTGTAGAGTTTACTTTTTTTTGCAGATAACGTAAAATTGCATCTCTGTGAGACAGAATATATATCCATTTTAATATTATAGGTACATCTGTCATAACAAACCCAGTAGGGCCATAAACTTGTGTGACATTTTGCTTCAAGCACCACTTATGTTTAAATGGGAGCTCTGTGCCAGTACAGCAGGGTATGACCCAACTCTGTTCAGGACATGAGATAAGATAAACAAGTAGGATAGATTCATCCTGGCAGCGTCTTTGTTGGGGCTCTTGGATAACATTTAACAAGTGCTGCAAATCTGCTTAAAATAGACACAATTTTAAAAAAGCAATTTAATTACCTATTCATCATTCTTGTGCTAAAACATTTTTCATTTCATTGCTGGTGCGTTCACCAAAGAAGCCATGCTTTTTTTTGTTGTTTGGTTGGTAGGATTTTGCATTGTTCATTTATGTTTTCCTGCTGTAGTATTTTTAGGTAAAATACTCGCAAATGGTCTAAAACACTTTATTTTTTTTCTCCAGGTGTTCCAGTTACTTACTGATCTTAAGCAGCAGCGCAAAGAGAGTGGAAAAAACAAGCAGAGCTCTGGTCAGCAGAATCTGAACACAATCATGTATGAAGTGAGTAGCACAGTGAAATTCCTTTGCAAATTAGCCCAAGTTGGAGTAATTCACATCCTTAGGTCTGTATATTAATAATTTTGTATCAAAATTCCCCTGTTAAAAAACACAGTAAAATATTTTATTTGTCACTTTTCTGTGGTCAGTTCATTCAGGTTGTAGGCTAACTGCACTGTCAGGGCAGAGGCATGCAGCTGGTCTTACTAAAATCTTATCACAAGAAGAATAAAAAAACCCCCTGTTTTTTAACTGTTTAGTTTTGTGGTTTGTTTTTTTTTTTTATTCCAAATATTCTATCCTTTTAAGACCCAGGGCAGAACTTGCTATCATCTGATGAATTGATGATACCATGTAATCATGATTTCAAAGCTGAGGCACAGATCACATATGGTATTTTTTTATTAACAGAATTAAACTAATAATATCCAACTAAAATAGATTTTTTTAATTTTTTTTTTTTTTTTTTGTCAAAAGAATAACAAAATCACATGTACAGATAGCAACATCAGTTGGATGCCAGACTGGTAATTGATGTTTAATCTATTGCTAGGAAGAACTTTTTAAATCGTGTAATACAAATATTAACATTTGAAATAAATTAGCAACTTCATAACAGACTTGCAGTATGACCTGTTGTGTCTGTGTCAGAGAATTGCATGAGTAGCACCACGACTGGCAGCAAGTTGAAAGCAGTTTGCCTTGCTTGCATGAGTAATCCCGTTGAGCAGTGAAACTACTCATGTGAATAAGATTTGGCCTAGGCTTTGTTTTTGTTTTAGTTCTGGCTTTGTTTGAAAAGGTATAGAGTTGTAATTCCTAAGCCTCATATTCAACAAAATAGGGGCTTACAAAAAAATCTAATTTAAATCTTCATGGAGACGAAGAGTCTCTTCCTGTACCTCTTTGAAACAGCTGAGAGATCCTGTAAGTATATTTTGTCAGAATGCACCTTAAAGCTTTAATTGCCCTGTTATATTGCTACATGTTAAATACCTATAGGATGCTCGTTCTTGTGCATGCAGAGAAGTTGGTGTAAATTCTAAGTATATTTTCTTCATATTTGACTGAAAGAAAACCAGAATTTGATCTTACGGCATTGTCTTTGTTCATGCTGAGTATGTCTTCATGAGCTCCGTGCAGGCTTGTATCCATTGGTACTGAAGTAACTAGATAAAGCTTGCTAACCTGGAGCTATGTTTTGCTGTATGCCTGGTGTTTTAACTGATTTGAAACTGCCAAAAAAAGACTAAACTGGAAAAGAAATTACTCCTATTAAATAATTTTATTACATGACAATATTGTGATTTCATTTCAGTCGTTATTGGTGAATAAGAACTTCATTTTATCTGAAAAGGTCAGACAGGGCTTACAGAAAGGAGGGTTATCTAACACCCTATTGTGCTTTTAAATATATTTCTCAGTAGTCCAATGAAACTGGTCCTGAAGAATACCAGTGATTCATATTTCATCAGCACTGTATCTGTTAAGTAGGATGAATTATGCTGTCTTGTTGAAGTCTGTTTTCCTTTATGTAGCATTTTTAAATAACAGATTTTAATGGAAATACACTAAAAATACATTTGCTTATTTTCTTATTTGCCATACTGATCTTGAAGTCTGTTTGTTCCCAGTATCTGTTGTTTTCTGCTCTGTGAATACTGGTTCAGCTTTTTTGGCTTCTGACTTTTTAAATACAAATATTCAGTTTAAAGATTTTCTGAGAAAGAAACTTGAGAGAGTATCATACAGAATTTTATGGGGTTTTATTATTATTATAGATGATCTGTGCATGTGGTATCCTACCACATGTGTGTCTGTATTTGCAATCCAGTTAGTGCATCATGGGTCAGTTGTGTTGATACTTTTAAGCCTTATGTGTAACTATGCAGTATCAACAGATGAAGATTTTCTTCCTTAATTTAAAACAAGCATTGACAATACTCTTTTAAATCCTTCAGTTGCTGATGCACACAATGCAGACAATGCAGGGATTTCCTTGACTTTTTCATTGATCGTCATTATTTCCAACTCATCATTTTTGGGTCTAATCCAAGCAACAAGCAACATTCAGGAAGATTCTAAGCTACTTCCAGTGGAAAGAAAAAAAGCAAGCAGATGTGACATCTGCTGCAAAAGTTAGCTGAGGTTGGTAGGTGTTACATGTAAAAAATGGAGCAAAGATGAATTGTCTCAAGTCAGGTATACATTTCTAAGACTACAGTATTCTTGCAGATTTTCATGACAACCCACCTAACCTGCTTCTATGAACTTCAAGAAAGCATTGCCAAATATGCATATAAGGGTGAAAACAACCACAGATTGGAGAGCTTAATGAGTTATTTATGGGTTGGCAGTGAGAGTATCCCTGGCACTGAGCACGTGAAAACTTGGCAGAAGGTAACATGGTTTGAAAAATAGTATTCAACTTTTCTGAAGTGTTACTGCTTTTAAAAAACAAAACAACACAACAAAAAATAAACACTACCAAAAAAACCCACCCAAACCCCATATCTTGGTACCTTTTTAACCTAGCTTTGAATCTAAATGTTTGTTGGTTTTAAAAGGAAAACTGCATCTGAGTGATACTATTCAGCACAGCTGTAAGTATGTCTTGATCACAGTCTTAGCATCACCTGAGATTATTTCAAACCAAGAAAGCAAATGTCTTTCACAAACATCATGTGTCTTTTTAGTAGACAGAGCTAAAACTCCTTTCCTGTACTCTTCAACATGCGACTTTGGGCTTTGAACAGATCAGATAAATGGCTGTCCAAAGCCACAGAGGGGAATAGTCAAAGCTGTAATTCTCACTGGGGTGTGTAATGAGCTGAGTGGGTCATGTCTTTATGGAATTAGTTCACTGGGGCTTTCTGGATAAGTACTAATGTAATTTCCATTACATAAAGTTGTAGTTATGTATTGCCTGTTTCTTACTCCCTCAGCAAATACCATTATAGTGTTACTGAAGACAGAAAAATGTGAGTGATCTGTGTCACCTGTGACAGCACTTCCCACTGTTAAAAAAAAAAAAAAAAAAAAAAAAATTAAAAAGCCAAACCCCAAAACCTGAATTGACTTTTCCATTTTTTCTGAGTAGTACTGAGGAGACTTTTCAAAATGGGCTTGTTTCATACACAAGTGGTAAAGCAAATAGTAACTGTGAAATAATGTATCCTTTCTTTCTATCCCTTGCAGACACTGAAGTACATTTCAAAAACACCCTGTAGATACCAGAGTCCTGAGACTGTGAGAGATTTCCTCCTAGCAATGAAAGGCCATAAGCTAACCAAGTAGGTAGAAATGTGTCTTTGAATAAAAGTATAAACTCATGACAATGTTGAAAAACTGATCCCTGTGTACACAGTATGATAATCTGTCTGGTTTTGATCAAGGTATTTTAAGTATTTTCTGCTATTATTTAAATACTCATCCAAACATATTTTCCTTCACTTGTTAGTGCCTACATGGATGAGTATTTCCTTAAGTGGGCCTGTGTTTACCAATGTATTTCTCAAACGGATTCTTGTCAGTATTTTGTTTTTTAGCATGGTTTCACCTGGTCCAAGCACAAAGCAGAGTTCATAAAATGTTTTCTGAGGCAGAAGTTGTAAGTTGTAAACGGCAAAAAACCCCCAACCCAATCTTGGTTTATTATCAGCCTTATTTTTATGAACTTACTTAAGCAAAAATGCGTTCATACCTAAGAGGCTGTATTGCAGGGAGGTAATAAGTAAATAAAATCCTAATATAGATGGTTGGGAAAGAATGTTATTCTGAAGTCAAGTTTTGTGTGAATCTGTGAGTCCCAGCTACAACAGATCATCTCTCAGGGTTATGCTCTGTAACTGGCATTTAGCAAACTTAAGATGTTCATCCTTTTTTTTTGTGCTGTTTGTCCGCTGATATTTATGTCCACTGGGATTTCTGAGATATACATTTCAGTTACCTAAATATTGTGTTAATCAACTTTTTGCTCCCCGCCCTGCAGTTTCTAAGAAAGCTGAACTTACAGTTCATTCTTCTTATTTTGCAAAGTCCTGCATAGAAAATAAAAGACTTCCTTCAGAGTTACAAGAAGACTCAAAGGGCATTTTTCCTCTTTGGCAGTGGTCTGAACACCTGTTGACAGTGCTTGAAACACATGATTCTCTCAAACCTCTCTCCAGAGTGTGAGTGAAGCCTGCTGTAAATAATCAGACCCAAAAGAAATTGAATCAATTGGCTACTTGCTTGGATAGCTCTAATCAGTCAACTGATTTTTAAAGCAGAAAACCCAAAGATTTAGTTGTTCCTAAATGACTCCCTCTTCACCACAAAGGAGTAGTTTTATGCTGTATAGACACTGACTGCATTTTTCTTCCCTGCTGGAAGGACTCCCAAGGAGTTCATGCTCTGGGAAGGAGGCTCTTAATAATAATTTGGTTGTGTCACAAAAAGAAATGCAAAGTGAGAGTGTCTGGAGAGTGCAGTGCTACAAGGCAAGTTTTTACCCTGTCCAAAGGATAGTAAATTGAGTAGAAAGCAGATTGTCAGCTATTTTGTTGACTTTCAGTGCCTTCTTTCTACAAACAATTATGCTCACATCCAGTATATCAGCAGCTCTGATCACAGTATTGCTGTCATTGCAGACACAGGGGTGCTAGTACTTGGAAGCTTTGTCATGGGTTTGTAACTTCGCTTGTAGTGCTTTCTTTTGTAGAACGGAAGTTGCCAGGTCGGTATGTCAGTGTTTAGTCCTCCTGTAGCTCATTTTATATAGGAGGATACTAATTTATGTAGTGGGCAAGGTATCTTAATTATTTTCTGACACGGAGGTGTTGAAGCATGGAGAAAATACTCTGTTTACTGTAAAGAGCTGATAGTATGGAAATGAGAGTGTCTTAAAATTGCCAGCAAACTAGTTCTTGAGTAAGTAGTGAGCATCCTTCGTTTCTGGTAATGTGAAACAGTCATCCTATGTGAAGTGAAATAAGCTTGTTCAGTCTGTACATGGCAGCAGTTTAGAAAAGCGCCAGAGGAATACTATATCACGGCAAAAAGCCAGTGCAAATTAGAAAGGCAGAATAGGATTTCCCAGAAGTAACTGAATGAGTTAGGTGTAAGAGTCCCATTAAAAGTCAAAGGTGGTTTTTTTTTGTTTGTTTGTTTTAAAGTTCATTTCTAAACTTCTTTCTGGTAGAATTTGACCAGGACCTCGGGATTAACTCTTACAAAAAGGCAGGAGAGCTCTGTTATCACCTTGACTGCATCTGCTCCCCCATATGGGGTCTCCAAGAGTGAAGTACTAAATGATGTTGGGTCATAATGCAGAAAATTCTGGCTACAAAATCTCTCGGTCTCCTGTAGTGCCTGGCTGTTTTGTAGAAGATAAACCCAAATACTCGCCTTCCCGTGCCAGCTTGTTCTGTGAGCTTGAATATAGCACTGCTGCAAAGGTTGAAATAGTTACAAGGTTTAAATGAGCTTTTTGACTATTCCATTTTTTATGTTTACTAGGAGGTGCCTTTGGTTTTAGGTATCATCCTCTCTGTCCTTTTTCTCTGAATCAGTCTGTAAGATAAGCCAGAGAATTATTCCCAAGTCACTTGCTTCTGAATAATGGCAGAAGGATGAGAGTGAAGAGTCAAGCACTAGTTTAGGTTACAAAGTTACCACGTTTTATGCCTTATCCGAACTCAGATTGGACTGTGATACCTTAGTTTCTTGAGCATGCTGTACAACTTCTACTTTGTTAATATCTCTGTCATCTGGTAAAGAACTTGCCAACTCTGCATTTGCCTTGTACTTTACAAAATAAGAAACAGAATTGTTTAGTGTGATCCTGGCGCCACTTCTTTCTTCTAATCTTTTCCATTCAGACACTTCAAGCTAGAAGTGTCAAAGCCCATCTGGCAGCCTCTTCACACCAAAACACAGAAAGCATATGGTGTGCAATTACTATATAATGCACTTTATGTTAAAGTGCTTAAAATAGTAATGCCTGCAAGGAAACTTTGAACTAACTTTTGGTTCATAACCAAGATAATTTCAACACTGCTCTGTTGTTAAATAAACGAAAAACTAAAGGATTTAATCATTTCCATTCTGTGGGATGGAGGTGGTTATTTGTATAAAAGACCTCACTAGAGATTTCATTCCAGTTATCTGGTAGAGAGCTTTCTTCCCCTTGGGAGGAAAGAACCTGCAATGTTTGCTCTCCAGGACCTTACTTACATGATCCTGCTGTAATGACCTTTTCTCCCACAAAGAGTAATGAACTCCAGAGTCTGTCTTTGCTACTTCCTTTCTGGGTAAGGCATTCAAAGTTGTGCTCTCTTCCTTAATCTCTTAGCTGGTTATATGCTGTCTCTGCTGGTAACAGTTTTCTGAAGGTAGCTGACTTGATTTAAGATATATGTTAGTTGGTGTCTGTCCTCAATGAGGGCACAGCAAGGTTTTCTGTTTTCTCATTGCAAGAGAAATAGAGAATCTGGTTAAAAGGCACAACTGGTCAGAAACACCCCATCGTCTTAAGACTGCTTCCTCTGCCATTTAAACTCCTTGTTATGACTCTGCCTCTAATCAAGGAGGAAACAATTAAGCAGTGTGTTTGTGCTGTTAATTAGACTCAGCAACTTCTTGTCTAATACAAGGACTTGAGGGCTTTGAATATAAGAAGGGTTTGCAGCTGTTTCTAAAAACCTGGTGGAGGTAGGTGGTGTAATGACTGCTTTTCCCTGCTCAGCATGTTATTGCAGCAGTCAAGCACTAGGTTGTGCTAGTGTATGCGGGAATTTCAAGGTAGTGAAGAAAGACCAGACACCATCCAGAGAAGCACCAAGAATTGAGGCACATTCATTTAAAGAACAGAGCTTTTAATCAGGTGAATTCTCAATTTTCTTGCCCTCCTTGCACAAACCTGCAATACTAACCACGCAGAATGCATTGCTCGTCAGGCTATACGTGATGTCCTGAAACATTCTGGCTCCAGTCAGAGAGCAGATAGCATTGTGCTGGCAAATGGTGCGGTTCCTGTAAAATCACCTCAAGTCTTTTCTCTCTGTTATTGCTGATATTTGGTACTCAAAATACCAGGTTAACAGACCAGCATATCTCTTCTGCTGACACCCATCCATTTTGTGATGGGTTTTTCTCATTAGTGTTACACGCAGAAAAAAACAATTTTTCCTAAAAGGCAAATTTTAAAAATAAATACTAAGGTGTACAAACAACTTAAACCTTTCAGAGTGATTTCAGATAGCTGCATTGCTAAATGGAGCAAATTCAAAGACATCTAAACATATATTTCACTGATATAGTCAGTAAAGTATGGTAAAGCATGTTTTTTTCCTGATCAGTTATTTTGATAAAATTGAAACTGTAGAACTGAAATTGTTTGGGTTTTTTTAAATGAAAAGCTCCTAACTGACATTATAGTGAATTTTATTACTACCTTATTGAGGCCTCAAAATTTGGCTAACACTACAGTACAGTAAGCCATGTTGTACTTGGAAATACAGCATGCCACTAGCAGCTAATTTTACAGTTTTAGTCCCTGGAATGGCTTCGTATTTTGCAAGGTAGTGCAAATGGCATTGCATGAAAAGAATATTTATTGAGCTTGCACTCTGTGATTATGGTTAAATGAAAATTGGCTCTACTTGTATTTCTTCCTGTTACCGATAGCCTATCTTAGATCTAATTTGGGAACAATCAGATTTCCAATCACTGCATATTATTATAATTTTTAAAAATTGGACATAAACATTGCCCTTTTTGTCTTTAAATTGACACATTCAAGGAAGTGTTGAGCTGAAAATCAGTAGTCCTTTTAGAAAGTATTTTCCCTCATTACTGCCAAAAACTACAACAACTACAAACCTCTACAATATTAAAGGCTGAATTATTTGCCTGGTAATTTCTGTCTCCTCCAGAGCTTTCAGAGTGAATTTTCAATACCAAAGTCAGGATGGTGCTAGTTTAACAATAGCATCATTTAATAGTCTTTAAAAAGACTATTGTGTTTCCCTCCAAACTGATTGGTAATTAACCCTTTGATCTGTAGCAGTGTTGCTCTATTTTTTGTATTCAAATACCGTCATCAGCCCTCAGATTTCATCCCGGATGAATGTACTGACATTGAAGTACAGTAACCCCTGCAGAGAATACAGCCCGGTGTGTTTGCACAGACCACGCGCAGACTGGTAGTGATTTCACAGACCATGGCTGGGGACTGCTCATCCGTAAGCCAGATCCTGTGATTTTGATTCAGTCAACATTTTACATGAGTTGCAGTGGTTGCCTCAAGACT